TTGAAACCGCAAACCGTGAATTAGCGGTTTAAAACCTCAAGTTCTTTTTGTGTCATAAAAATCCAATCTTCCACATTTTAGGCCTAATTTTGATGCTTCTTTTGAAGCCTTTTGATTTCAAGCATACTTTAACACAAAAATATAAATTCACAACCTAAATAAATAAATTCACAACCTCAACTTCTCAAGCATATATAAATTCACAACCTCCTCAACTTCTCAAGCATTTACCACCTAAAGAAAATTAAAGTTACAATTCCAAGCATTCCAATTGAAGTTAAACTTCCCAAGCATTTACAACCTCAACTTCTCAAGCATTCTAATTCTAAATCCTTTAAAGTTACAAACCAAAAGGAAAATGCAATGCAAAATGAATTAAAATTACGACCCAAAGGAAAAATCCAATTCAAAGTTAATTAAAGTTACAAACTAAAAGGAAAACACAATACACCAATGTTACAAATTAAAGTTACAAACTCAAGTGTTGGTGGTGGTGAGTGGATTTGAAGGACTCCGTTGTGTTGTTTGAGCACCAATGCTATTTACAAAATGTAATTTTTTTTATTTATAAATATAGTCGCGGTTTGCTGTAACCGCAAGTTTTGAAAATCAAATACCACAACCGCAACCGCAAATGCGGTTCGGTTCTTCATAACGCAAATGCGGTTCGGTTTTCCACGATTGCGGTTCCATTACGGTAAATTGTTGGTTGGTTTTTGCGGTTTTTGGTTTTTCGGTCTAAAATGCCACTCCTAAGATGACTTATGGGATAAATTAAAAATTAATAGGTAAGTGTGGCCCAATAATTTAGAATTTGTGTTTGAGAGATTTGAATTTAATCTCATTGAGATTTGCATGAGTAGATGACCCATAAGGAAAAATTGGAAATTAATGGGTAAGTGTGGCCCACTAATTGAAGATTGGTGTCTTTGAGACGATTTGGAGATTTTCATAGGTAGATGACCTACGGGAAAATTTGGATATTAATGGGTAAGTGTGGCCCATTAATTGAGAATTTGTGTTTGAGATATTTGAATTTAATCTCATTGGAATTTTCATGAGTAGATGTCCCATGAGAAAAATTGGAAATTAATGAGTGAGTGTGGCCCATTAATTGAGAATTTCTGTTTGAGAAAATTAATCCATTGTCAATATAATGGGAATTTGAGCCTCTATCAATTTAATGGGTAATTGTTTATATCACCCATTAAATATTTTGGGCCTTTGAGAATTAATGGGCAATATTTTTTGACAGCCCACTATTCTATTTCGGGCCTTTGACATTTGTTGTCAGTTAGCCCACAAGAAAGGAGCCCAGAAAAGCCTTGGTCCAGCAGCTGATTGAAACAACCTGATAGCTATTCAATTCTTTGTAGAGTTCGTTTCCAGGTAAAATCAGACCATGCACTTTTATATTTATCTGGAATGCTTAAGTGCAGTCCAAATTGAAAGCAAACATTGTACCTCCTTCGTCTTTAAAAGAGTACACCAAGTCACAATTAGTACAGAACCTTTGCAAACCAGAAGAAAATACCGCCGCAACATATCAAGAGGTTTCATACTCTTTTTGTCTTTTTCCGCTCTTTTTTTTCTGCAACACCAAGTTTCCTGTGTCTTTTTTTTCTTTTCTTCTAATCTCCAACAAAGTGGCATCAGCCACCCTCTTCCTTTTCAAACCAAGTGAGGTCAGCCACTTTCCTTTGGTTTCTTTTCATTTTTACTCTTCTTCCCCTTTTTTTTTGACATGAGTCTTCTTCTCTTGTTTTTTTTAATTTGCTGCCGCTATCTGCACACTGCACAGACCAAGCCAAAGCCCGCATGGTTGTCTTCTCTTTTCTTCATTCAGCAACTTTTCCATATATATCTTTTTTAATCACACACTAGCCACACATGCTTTTGTCTACTGTTTTCAAAAAAACAAACACAATTCCAAAGTCTGTAGCGTGGCTTCCCCTTTCAGGACTTCTTTCCTTTTTGTGGAATCCCTTTTGTTTTGGCTTTCTTGGTCCTGTTTGTATGCGACCCCAACAAAAAAACCAAACCCAAAGGGCTGTGCGCTTTTCCTTTGTTCTGATAGTTTTTTTTCCTTATTCTGTATGCCAGCGGCTGATCTTTTTTTCTTTTTCTTTTTTTATTTCAGAGCAGCACAGGCACGAAGAGGGAATTAGTGTGCTTTTGTTTTCTTGACAGAGACGGAGAAAGCTGGTCAGACTCACCAAAGGCAGAGGTATAACTGTAAAATTGGTATGAAAAGATATTTGACCAGAATAATTCTCATTGATCATTGATGTATGTTTATATAATACATTCCGTAGGTTTCTCCTACAAGTAAGCTAACTAGCTAGGAAATAATATATACAGGAGATCAAATAATATAACATTCTTATTCTATTATACAATCCCTAAA